CACGTTTCGGCTAATATACGAAATGAAAAGTCAAGTTTCAAATCATTTATCTTGTTTTCCATCCGCAAAGCAAAAAATTACAAAAAAAAAGAGGAATGGAATTGAGAAAAAATGACAAAGGCACGAGCAGAAATGATGCCGCCAAATGAAATTGGCAAAAGAGCCGCGACGCCCGAAGCATGTTGTGAATGCGAAATGAACTGTGTGACAGTGACACCCCGAGACCCAGAAAGTGGTAACCCACGCGCACATCTCACAAACACCTTGCCGCCGCCGTCAACCCTTTTTGGACTCTCTGCCCTTTCGTCATATTATTCAAATTGAAACCGTTTTTCCGTGTACTTTTCGCATTTTTTTCCAACCGAAACCGAAATAGTAGCCGCCCCCATGATTAATTCACAAGCAGAGCTGGGAGTGGGCATTCAGTTCGCGGTATTTGGGACACTCGAAGTGACCCTTTGCCTTAGATCCGATTCCAAACCCTTCTCTTCGCCTTGGACACTTGGCTTGCCAATTGCTTCCTTGACAAATTGTAGTTGGAAAAGTGACAGCAATGTACAATTTTAAATTAAAAAGTACAACAAATGGAGACATTAGAAACAAGAAAAAAAATGTATATTTTATTCTGAACTTTTTTTAGGTTTTTTTGTAGTACCATTAACAACATTCAGGGAAAATTCTCAATATAATATATAATTTATATATAATATGGCAAACAATTATTAATTTTTCGCTTACCAATCTGCTAATTGAAACAATGCGACAAAAAATTGGCGCAACTGAGTTCCGCCATTTATCAAATGCGTTGCACGTGTCGAAAGTCTGTGGGATGGATGGTTTTATATATTTTTAAAATATTAAAAAAAAAACATGAAACGCAATTTGCGAATCAATCAAATTTTGCAACATGTCATTCGTATTTTTGAAACCCAATGTATCAAATTTCGCGATTTTTGTTTTTAATCTGATTGTCTGCTGATTGATTTTCATTTGAGTTAATCACTTAGTATTATTTTTATAAGTAAAAAGCAAGTATAAAAATACTTTAATATATATTGAAGACTTTATTGATTCACATTAATGCAAATCTATCTAAGAGTCTAAATAGATCCGACTCCTGGCACGCCCTGGTCGCCAAATGCGAATACATTAAAATGATAAATGAGTGCGATTATTTCCTTATTACCATCAAATTAATACTGCTCCTCTCGTTGACTTTGACGTTGTAATCAGTTTCCGTTTTGTTTTCCTTTAGCCGCACCCAGGTAAACAGGCAAAAAATGGACGTAGCGAGTAACAACCTGGCGGCGACCAAGCGATTTATTGGCTAAAAATGAGTTACCACGCAGTGGGCCATCATAAAAATGAACAAACAATAAACATGCTATAGCTGGGTTTGCAGACTATAAGATACCCAGTACTTCTATGGGAAAAGGGTTTTCTGAATATATACAAAATTATACATTTTGTCAAATATTTAGATCAATCTATTTTTATTTTCTTCGATTTATGGGCTTTAAAAACAAATTGATTCTAGTATCTCCAGCTCGCAGGTTCATGGTTCATCCTTTACACCTTCCTTCCTTGAATTAAGTTTGCCTTAACTGCATAAGGATATATTGCGATAATATATTTGGAAAATTTATATTTTCCTGCACTTCAAGTAATGAATTTAAATTCAAGTCGATGGATCAAAAATTTACTTTAAAAGGCCTATCATTACTATACAGATTAACAATCAATCTGAGAGTTTTAGGTACAAACGACATAATAAGTATTATTTTTTAAATATAAAAACAGAAAATAATTTATATTAATATATTTAGCCATATACCAATGTCTTGCATTTTTTCTATAAATTTATATTTTGACTTTTATCAACTAGAAACACAATACGCCCCAATTTTTCTCCCAGGTACCAAAAATAAAAATATATAAAAAAAAACATGGGGCCGAAATCAAACACAATCAAGCGAATTGGGCTCCGTTCCTGTTCCAGTTCGGGTTACGTTGCTTGCACAGCCATTTGAGGCTGTCCTTTCGGTTGGTTAAAAATAATCAGACCACTTCGTGTTCCAGCAAGGACACCACCTAGCCTCCCATCGCGGTAAACATCGTTTGTCAAGAGCTTTGACTGCCAAGGACCTGGGCCTGTCCAGCTTTAGCTTCAGCTCCAGTTGCATTCTACCCTTCACTCAAGGACTTCCGTGAGTCGCGGCCGTGCGATAAAATAGTCGCTTACAAAATATTTGTTGACATTCCGCGGTAAATTACCATAATTAGTTGATTCGAGACCGACCCATGTTTGATCGGGGCTGCCGCTGGGGGTGGGAGTATTTGTGGGCGTGCTTGGGTCTCGGTGTCAGCCAGGCGGCGACATAATGCCACGCAGGACACTGCCCGCGGCTAAAAGGATAATAATTAGAGCATATGTACGGATTGAGTGCAAATATTGACTCTGGGCTGAGCGTTTTCTTGCCGCCCTCCATTCGTCATCGTTCCCGGGGTCGTTCCAGCGCGTAAACTCAAATTAATCAGCCTGATATCAATAACCGTGCAAACATAGTAGCTCCACATAAAACATATGTATGCATATTGACCATACATATGTCAAAAACCTTATGGGTACGGATTTGCTACAAGGCTTTGGAAGGAAAGGGGAGTTCCTGGGAAATGGTAATATATGACGACAACAAAAATCCTTGCTGTTTGTTAATTTTTTTCGAATTTTTGTTTAAGTTTAGTTCTTACTTTGAGTGTTTATTGAGTTTTCTTTAAAAATGTCTTCTTACATTTATTAAATATTATAATAAATATTTCTTTCAATTATGGTAAAGATAAAAAACATTTTTAAAAACATTTGCTTATGGGATATACATAGATAGTAATATTTTAGAATTAAAAAAAAAAAAAAATTTGCCCCATCCCCGATTGACATATCCCATCCAAATTCATTGCACATTCCCAGCAAAATCTCATAGACCTCGTCCTTTGGTCGAAAATGACAAAGTCATTAGTCAGCCTCCTACTTTTTGCTCACTGCTTAGAAACCAACAATATCAGGGGCTGAAGCAATGAACCGCAAATTAATCCCAATCCACAGATCCCTAAACCACAGCGACAATTAATATGCCACTAAGCCCTTGGCCACGCCCACAAACACACCCACAACCGCTATAAAATGACCAAGGGAAGAGCGGAAAAGAGATTAGGACAGTCAAATGACTTTAAATTAAGCCGATGTGCGTCGTCGTCTGTCGATTTAATTAAAATCAAAACAAAAATCTTTGTCCTCTGCCACGCCCCCAACTCCTGGTCGCAGTCGAGCAGCCCCCTTGTGCCAGCAAATAGACAAATAATAAAACCATAAATAATGCAAAACAATAAATGAGCAAATATTCATAAATTATGAACGCCGCAACTCCAGCTCCAGCCGCTTCCTGGCTTGGCTGACAAAAGGCAGGGACAAATACCCAAAATATTTTGCCCAAGCATTTAAAAGGACAATGAGGCACGAACCAGATGACAGAATCCGGGGAAGAATAGCAAATCCCCGCAGAAAATAATTGAGCCCCATAAAGGAAATATCATTCATTGATTTTCCTCCGGCGACCTCGACTCTCTAGACTGGCGGCAGCAAGTGGATGAAGTCGTCGTCGGTGAATGGGGTGGCTAACTTTGGCCAAGGGGTGCAGCGGAGCAGTGCTGCTGGGATGGCTCTTTCCTGGGATTCTGTCAGCAGCCAAGCAATATGGACAGCTGACGAAACTATCCAAGGGGCGTTGGCAGATTTTCACATGAATCCGAAATCTATGCCCCGGCATGATTTGCACAAAAAAACTTGAGCTGGCAAATTTGTCAGTGGCGGGAAGGACACAAGAAAATGGGCGGAAGGGAAGCCAAAGGAAGAGTCTTGCTTTTCTCGGGGCAGAGAGAACAAATGATAAATTATTAAGGGATTTTTTGTTAATTTGATGACACTGATGATGGGCCAAGACCAGATTACCCGGACTGCCCTTTTTCCTATTGGGTCAAAGCGAATATAATAAAGCACATCAACAGCATTGTGCCCGCATTATATTTTTATGAGAAGTTTATTTTCCAACGACCTTTTTCTAAAAATGTATTTAGTGTGCAGGTGTTTCATGTACATTTCGACAAGTCTTTTACTTCATTTAAACATTTTTGAATTTAAGATGTTTTCCAAAAGCATTTGATTTCTTTTATTGAAAATGTACCAATTGTTGTTTATAAACAACTATTAATTGTCTTTTGATATTGGAAAATTTCATTCCCATCAGTTGTAGCGACGCTCAACTTCTTCAAAGTACTCTAGCACTTGGGCAGGATACGCCTCCTTTAACTCCTCCATAGGCACAGTATCCACCGCATCGATGCCCTTCCAGGTGACAAACGAATAGTGTCTATCGAACGCATGAAAGCTGTGCACAACTTTATCCAACTCGAGGCCACGAGCCAGTCCGAAAACGGTCTCCCACGGCGTCATCGAAGGGGTGTCTGGGTCTTCATCACTGCTTTCTTGTTCCTGAGTCTTCTTGGTGATCTTCTTGCTATCCTTGGGACCTTGGACTAGAGTCTGGACGAGCTGTTAAATGGAACGGATAAGGATAAGAAATCTATATCAAGTATTTAGTAAATATAAATGCCTTACGTTTTCCCAGAAGTTGCCGGTATCAGATTCTGCATTTTTTTAGTGGCAGCCTTGACTTCCGGTTGCGGTTGGTGAGCTTTCTCCTTTTGAGAGTTTAGTGGTTTTAGTGGTGGTTTAGTGATGCTTAATGTGCGTAGCTCATTGAGAAGCTGAGAGTTCGAGCCCGAAAATTTGGAAGATGCTAAGGAAGCTGCAGAGGATCGCGTTTCCTAATCGATACTTATCGATATATTAAAGTTCTTCCCATTTCTAGCATGTTGGCAGCACCAACAAATGAAGCCTTCTGGTCATTTTTGGATTAAACACGTGACAAAGAAGAAAATAAATCATGGCTAGCGGATGGCACTCGATTATAGCGGGGGGATCCAAAGACCCAGGTTTATCAAACACCAAGGAGTCCAAGACACCAATCTACTCACTGTCGCCCAGCGACACCAATAATCCAGATCCAGCACAAACTCAGCCGGAGTTCATTGTAGAAGAAATCACTGGAAAACGGTATGTGAACGGTCGAGTCGAGATGCAAATCAAATGGAAGGATTTTCCCCCGGAGAGTAGCAGCTGGGAGCCCCTTGAGAACCTAGGCAACTGCATACTGTTGGTCGCCGACTTTGAAGCGAAGCTCTTCAGGATGAAAGAAATGGCAAGGAGTGGCAGCAAGAAGAAAGTAGGCAAGGAGCCCACAGCAATGAAGGCATCCCTTGCTCCAGCACCCGGGGAACGGGAACCAGGAACCAAGTCAATCGACAAGAAAACACCAAAATCTACACCACATCCGAACACAGGCCTTCAGATCGGTGGAAATCAGAAAGAAGGAAAACCGATCAAACTGCGTCCTGCGTTGCATTTGCTATTGAGCGACAACGAGGTTCCATCTACCTCATTTGGCCACTGGGCAAATCCTACTCCATCGGATCGGGAAATATCCGCCAGACCCTTTTCGTCTGCAGCTTCCTCAGCATCTTCCATATCTTCGGGTTCCAACTCTCAGCTTCTCAATGAGCTACGCACATTAAGCATCACTAAACCACCACTAAAACCACTAAACTCTCAAAAGGAGAAAGCTCACCAACCGCAACCGGAAGCCAAGGCTGCGACTAAAAAAATGCAGAAGAATCTAATACCGGCAGCTACTGAGAATCCCATCGATATGGCATTGAGTGACGTAAGGCATTTATATTTACTAAATACTTGATACAGATTTCTTATCCTTATCCATTCCATTTAACAGATTCGCAACATGCAGCTAGTAGAGAAGGGCCCAAAGGTCCAGATTCTAGTCCAAGGTCCAAAGAAAAGCAAGAAGATCACGAAGCAGACTCAGGAACAAGAAAGCAGTGATGAAGACCCGGAAACCCCTTCGATGACGCCGTGGGAGACCGTTTTCGGACTGGCTCGTGGCCTCGAGTTGGATAAAGTTGTGAACAGCTTTCATGTGTACGATAGACACTTTTTGTTTGTCACCTGGAAGGGCATCGATGCGGTGGATACTGTGCCTATGGAGGAGTTAAAGGAGGCGTATCCTGCCCAAGTGCTAGAGTACTTTGAAAAAGTTGAGCGTCGCTACAACTGATGGGAATTGAATTTTCCAATATCAAAAGACAACAATTGGTACATTTTTAATCAAATGCTATTGGAAAACATCTTAAATCCTAAAATGTTTAAAAGAATTGAACAACTTGTCGAAATGTACATGAAACACCTGCACAATAAAACATCTCTGTAATACAACTGTTGCATTATTGTCCAAGGATATCAGAATAGAAGCATTTCTATAGGAATATTGCGTTTAAGCAACGAAGTTGTTTCGAATATTACACTTTCCTATTCATTTTCCAATTGTTGCTGGTCGTTCCGACTTAAATACTACCTACAGTAGAAAAAAAGGCTCTCCAAAAGTTTTATTCTGAAATCTTGAATGGCCAGATTGAGTCTAGATCAAGAGTATATATTCTTCTGGCCAAAATGATCGAATCCTGCAAGGATAATAAAACAAAGCCTAACGTTTGAATTCCATTCGCTGGAGTTCAAATGCTTCAGCTTTTTGTCAGCTTAGCGGCAGGTCTCCATTGGTTTGCGTCTGAGCTAGGGTTTCTCTACACTTGTAGAGACTTTTACAGTATTGCAGTATTAGTGTGACCAATTAGAAAAATAACAATTCCGCGATAAAACTGTTAATTTATAATTCAAAATTATCGATATTTTTTCACATCCCCTAAAAGGTCATACCGCGTCACTTTAAGAAATACAAATACAAAAATTAGCGTCAAATGCGAAAATAACAACAATCCCAGGATAGAAAAGCGCTCACAATGAGTGCGTACAATAGACGCGCGGCGCTGCGCAAGAAGAGTCCTAGCCAGGGCTCCTTCGACGCCGAGATGGACGAGTCCGGGTACACGTCCTTTCGGGCGCTGCACAACTCCACCGCGGAGACGCCATTTTTGTTGGACGAAGCTGAGAACTGTCGCAATGCATCGAATACTGGACACTTGGTGAGAGGACTGTCGACGCCGCATGGCCACCATGAGCTGCGGGACATGAGGTTTCCCAAGAGCCTTCCCGAAGCTCAGAGTTCAATGGCGGAGGAGCCTTGTTCGACGACGCCCCGATTGCAGGAGACGCACAGCCTGCCAAAGCGCCGGAAGAAACACTTTCAGGCGCCGCACAGCAGCCCCAGGAAGTCGAAGAAGCTTTTATTTCCCCAGGAGGAGCAGCCTCCCATCAAAAACCGCTTCTATGGCGGCGTGGAGCGCCTGGACATCGTCGGCAAGCTGGCGCAGAAGCAGCCGGCGCTGGAGTGCATTCTGCGGTATGTGGGCGCCCACACGCTGGACGTGATGACCCAGGTGTCGCTGGTGTGGAAGCAGGCCATACACAAAAGCCAGCGGGCCCTGGAGCGGCTGCAGAACCACCGGCTCAAGCTGAGCCTCACCAAAGAGAATCCCCATGTGCCCAAGCGGCGCCGCCATCTCCAGAAAGCGAACTCAACAGTGCCATTGCAGAGCTCGAATCACAGCAGCCAGGCCAACAGTGCCGCATCGCTGATGGATTCTGGCAACTCTAGCATTCACCTGATGGAAGTGGATGCTGGACGCATTTTACGCGAGCAGACGCAGCGCGTCAAGTGTCCGCGCTGCGGACGGGGCAGCCGGGTGTTCCTCAGCGAAGTGCCAACAAGCGGGGACAACCTCATGTCCCAGACTTTACCCGGCGGTCAGAGCACATTCGCCGGCGGGCACATGAACGACCGCCCGCCACTGATGCGCTTTTTGTCTCTGGACCTGGACGACATCAGGGGCTCGCATCCGGCGTACAACTTTGCTGAATGTACCAGTGTCATTTGCCAGTTTCGCTTCTGCGTCAATTGCCTGAGCAAGTCGCATCCTGGCGAGCGTTGCCTGGTCACCGAGCTGGACACGCCCTCAAAGCTGATGATGCCCCGGGAGCGCCTGACGCCGCCACAACGTCCCCAGCCCCGTGACGCCAAGATCAGACGGAAGAACTCGCTCAAGCGGCTCTGCTTTTAGCCCTAGACACTAGGTTTTCTTTTTTTAAGTCTGTAACGTCTAGTATTCCGTTTGTCCAAATCTCATCATTCACGTATTACGTTTTACATTTTGTCATCACCATACTTGATTTTACATTGTTTCACACTGCAAGATTCCGCTGTACCTCTTCTGAGATTAAGACAGTAACATAAGTATTCTCTACAAAATATGCGAAATATAAGACCTATTAATTAGTCTTTGGATATTAATTTTTTGGATTTAATCAGGGACTACCAGTGTGGGATACTTCAAGAAGAATACTTTAAGAAAAGAATTAATCATTAGGGGACTCCTCTAGAAGCTGTAGGAGATCAAAATCTAAGACCAAAATAAAAAAGACATTAATTTAATTGTTTATCAGCGTTGCCAATTTAGCTATATTCCCGCTAGAGCAAGCCAAATTCGCGGAACAAGTTCAAAATTCAAAGTATATTTCAACATTCTAGATACGGTCACACATTTACCGAAACACGTGTGGAGTGCGGTTTATTATTATTCCCGATTTTGAAGCTCCTATAAATCACAAAGAAAGATAGAAAAGCCCAAGCCAAGATGACCACCTCGTTGGCCCAGCAGCTGCAGAAATTGGCGGCGCCGCAGACGTCCGTGACTTTGGCGGACGCCCGCAGCAGGGCCTCCATTCTGTTTGATCCCAAAGAGGCGGCCACCAAGGATCGCCGGGAGATCTACCAAATCGGATTGACCGGGCTGCAGGAGCTGACCGACTTCAATCCGGCCTTCAAGGAGTTCCAACTAACACTGTTTGACGAAGCCACCCTGACACTGGAGCGCTCCGTGGAGCTGCCGGAGGTGAACAAGCTGTTGGACGCGGCCATTGCCAAGTTCCTGCGTCTGCTGTCCCCCTACCTGTTGCTGCGCCCCGCCCACATGGCCTTCGAGTGGCTGCTGCGTCGCTTTCAGGTGCACGAATACAACCGCGGCCAGGTGATGGCTCTGATACTGCCCTACCACGAGACCAAGACCTTTGTACAGATCCTGCAGACCATGAGGCTGCGCTCCTCGGATGCCGATTGGTTCTGGCTGCGACCTCTGCAACGCCCGGGAGTGTCTTTGGCCAAGACCGCCATTGTCAATCGGGCGGCCAGCAACCCGGCCTTTCTGAGCTTCATCTGCCAAAGCACCCAGAAGGCCGTTAAAGAGCTGGGGCCCCGCGCCCACCAGCTGCAGGCTCAAATTAACTTCTACGCCACCGTTGTGGTCGGAGCCCTCCAGACTGCCAAACCGCTGCAGGACTGGCACATCACCACCATCCTGGAGTCGTTGCTGAGGGGCCTGGCGTCCGATACCATTGACTTTATGGCCGCTGCCTATGTGATCGTGGCCCAGCTGGTATCGCGCACCAAGCTCCAGAGCAAGGTTTGCAACGCCCTGCTGGAACGTGTGGCCAACTGTCCGTTCGAACGGCTACACACCGAGTCGCTGCTCCTGCTCATTTGCATCTACGGCAAGCAGAAGGCCGCCGTGCCTCACTTCAAGCCGGAGACCGTGCTGAATCTGGTTGGCCAGAAGTGGCTGATCTCGGCACTGGCCTCGCTGGCCAAGGCCAATGTCGCCATTCAGTCCATTTGCATGCCCCTGATGACGTGCGCCGTGGCCGCCATTCGGGAGGATGTGGCTGCTTCCAGCTCTTACGAAGTGTTCCTGGACAACCTTCTGTCCGAAGTGCCCATGACCACGCCGTGCGCCCAGAAACTGATCAAGTAAGTTGTGCAATTACGTTAAGTATCAATAATAACATGATGATGTCCTTTCTTAGCTGCTTTTTGGATACTTTTGTGGAGACTGAGCCTAAGGCAGCCGAGCCCATGGACACCGATGACAACGACGACACCATTGTCATTGATTCAGACGATGATGAGGTGGCAGCGGAGAAGACCAGCTTTCAAACCTGGTATGCCGGTTACCTCGAAAAGCTGGAGAAGCGCTATCCAGAGGCCTTTGACCTGAGCGTTAAGGAAGCCCTAAGGGCCAAGTCCACCACCAGTAATCGTCAGAAGGCCTTGAAGTTGGCCTTGGGTAAGTGCACTTCTTGATTAAAATATACAACTAGATTACATATCCATCCTTCTGCTTAGGTTTCCGCCTCAACACCTCCGATGACAAGGCGAAGCGGGCCTATGAGAAGCTCTACCATTACAGTGCCGACTTGCGCCTGAGTGCGGTCCAGCAGCTGCTGCTCAACCTCAAAAGCGACAAAAGGCGGGAGCGCAGTGTAAAGCTGTTGCGGGAATGCCTTCCGGACAGAATCAACGATGACAGTGGTGCTGTGGTCGCCGCCGTACTCTCATTGCCTACGGCAGAGCTGGCCGAGATGTTGGTTCCGCTTAGCCTGACCCAGACCCTGTGCCACCTGGTAAGCCGAGCCCAAACCGAAAAGGATGAAGAATGGCAGCCTGTACTGGTGCTGGCAGTGCGTCATTTGACCACCACCACTGGAAGTGGCAACTACGACGAAAATCTGGTGCTGCTGGCCCTGATGCCGCTGCTCTTCCCCGCCGCCGCTTTGGGGGAACACGAGCATGCTGCTCTGGTGATTCTGCTGCATAGTGAGTTTGCCGGAAGAGTTCCTTTCCTCAAGGAACTGAAGGTGAGCAGCGAGTTCAAGGATTTCAAGACCAGCGAACATCGGCAGCACTTCCTGGACGTAATAGCGGGCAGCAGCCAAGAGCTGATCAGCCAGGAAAGGGGTCTGCTTCAAAGCGTTGAGGAGCATGGAGGCACGACTTACCTGGAGAAGCCGGCCCAGCTGACGCACCTGCTGCTCCTACTGACCGCCTACGCCAAGCGGGAACTGCAGCCGTCGGAGAGCCTGCATGTGTTGGACAAGATTGGGCTGTACAGTCGCCGCATCCAGTTCCGTGTGGCCAAGGCTAATCGCCACAGCCAGGACTTTGTCCCTCTCCAACTGTACGTTGACTTTCTGCTGACCCTGGTCAAGAACACCAAATGGACATCACTGGCCTCGACGCCCTGGACGCAGCTTAGCGATGAGTTACGCCTCTGCCTCCGCCTGCTGCAGATAATATGTGGCCAAGTGTTCTCGGACCGTGAAGATCCCCTAGAGCGTCAGGAGTGGACGCGAGCCCTGCAGCAGAGCCTTCAGGTGATGCTACCCGAGGCGCAGGACAGGCTGGAACTGCTCTCCAACTTTTATGTGTTTGAAAGCTTGCCAGAACTATGGCCTTGCGACGCGGACTACGCCTTGTTCCGCTTGCAGGGCTTTCTGCTCCTTGAGGCTGTGCTGTCCAACCCAAAGTCTCAGCTTGACTGCAGTCTAGTGCATGTGCTGCGAGTGGCGAACGCCTGCAGCTCCCAGCTGCAGACACTGCGGGTGCAGGCCATCGCCACGCTGCAGTTGATCGGCAGTCGCTGCAAGCTGGTGACCCACGTGGAGCAGCTGGTCCGATCGCTGTTGCAGAGAAAGAGCGAGCTGAGTATGGACCACGAGCAGTATGCACTGATACTCTTCACCATCTTGGAGCCGGAGAGTGTCACGGCCAAGGAGAAACTCGTACTGTCCAAGCTGAAGAGATCGGTTCTGGCCCTGGCCTGTGATCCCCAACAGCCGGCCATTTGCACGGCGTCTCTACTAAAGGCTCTAAAGCATGTGAACAACGAGCATTTCCTTGGCGACTTGCTGCCCCTGGGCCATGACGCCCTGAAGAGGATAACCAGCGGCGACGGTGATGGTAGCCAGCACCTGAAGCAGTTGCCGTGGCCCCACAGCGAGATCTTCAAGTCGGTCCTGGAAAGGTTCGAAGGGAAAGTAGCGGTGAATGTGTTGCTCCAAAAACCCAAAGCTTGGGAACTATTCGAGGCCACATTCGCCCGCCAGGATGTGTATATCCAGCTGGAACAGAAGCTCCAGCCCTTGCCCTGCGTCCTGCTCAACAGCCTTTCACCGGAGACGTTCGAGCTTTTGCAGGCCAAGCACAAGGTGGCCCTGATCAAGCTCATTGTGGAGGCGGCCACCCGTTCAGACAACGACACCATTTTCCTGGCCAGCCATCGAATGCTGAAGCGCAGCCGCTTGGAGTGTCAACCCCTGGCGCCGATGCTAACAAAAATGATTACCTTCGCCAAGCGGAAGCCACCGCAGGGCTCGCAGATCGGGGCCAAGCGACGCAACTCAACGTCTGCCATTCAACAACTGGACCTGACCAGTGTGCCCTGGAAGCAGGGAATGACTCTCCTTGAGCTGCTGGAGCATAAGAAACTGCTGATTGGATCGGAGCTGCTGATTCCACCGCTCTTCGAACTCCTGCAGGCGTGCCTTACGCTGGAGGAGCACAGTGCCGCCGAGTATCCCAAGCAGCTGATCCTCTCCAGCCTGCTGCACTGTTGCCAAACGGCTCAGTTGGCCGGAATACCGCTGACCAAGACCCTGCCAGAGTCGTGCTTCCGCATCGAGTTGGTGGTTCAGTGCCTGCGGAATACGCGCAACCCGCAGACCCAGCAGCACGCCCTGCTCTTCCTTACCCACTGCGCCGCCATGTATCCGCAGCAGGTGCTGCACAAAATCGTTGAGATCTTCACGTTTGTCGGCTCCACAGTGGCGCGACACGATGACGCCTTCAGCCTGCATATCATCCACAACGTGGTGGAGTCGATTATACCCATTCTTTTGCTGAAAACGGGCCAGAACGAGCTGGTCATTCCCGTGCTCAAGGTCTTCGCCGACATCTGCACGGATGTGCCGGTGCATCGCCGGCTGCCGCTGTACGCCACTCTATTCCGAGTCCTGGAGCCCAAGAAGCACCTCTGGCAGTTCCTGTGCATCGTGTTCGAGAGCCATGTGCTGCTGGATCAGAAGGCCTCTACGGACAAATCCCGTCTAGAGTTTGGCCGCGAGCTGACTCTGATGTTCGAGGATCCGGCGGTGGGTCTGGAAACATGTATCCGGCTGCTGGATTACTTAGCCAAACTGCCGGCAAACAAGAGCGGCCCATCGCCAACGGGCTCCTTGTTCCTGTCCACGGAACAACAGCTCTTCGATGTGGGTTCCCGGTCCTTCAAGCAGCTGCGCCACTACAAGTATCTTATCATGGATTTCCTGTCCGGCATCAGTAGTTGCAACGAGTGGCAGGCGAAGATGAAACGGCCCGATCCCACAGAGCTGCTGCCATACTACCAGGAATTGATCATCAAGACCCTGGCCTACGTTAGTGTGGTCAATGGAGCCCTGGAAGCTGCCACCGAAACGCCCTCACTGGAAAAGTTCTGGCGTGTGCTGGGGAACCATGCCCACGATGTCTTGGACAATGCCATCGGACTGCTGGCGCCGGAATACTTCCTCAGCGTAATCACCGAGTTATTGCAGCACGACCTTGTCCACGTCCGCACTAAGGTGCTGGAGCTGCTGGTGACCAAGCTAAGCAATCCCACAAGCGATTACTTCCAGCACACACCAGCCGAACACTTTGCAGTCCTCCTGGCTCCGCTGCAGGCGATCATCAACGGCATCCTTGAGGGTGGTGCCGGTAGCGCTCAGCTCGCGCAATTACAGCAAACGGCCCTGCATGCCATGCAGCTTCTGGCGCAACGCCATGGCCGTGACTTCATCGAGGAGTGCCGATCCCTTCTGGCCACTCTCACCAGGATCACCAAGCGACGGGCAAATGTGCCCAAGGCGGTGGTGGGCAATGTTGTGCTCACCCTCGTCGAGATTTGTGCCAGCCTCAAGGCCCATGCCCTGGCCCAGCTGCCCAAGTTTGCGCCCCAGCTGACGGAGCTGCTCAAGGAGCAGGTGCAGCACATGGCCACGCTGAAGCAGGGTCCCGACTATGTGTGTTCCACCCTTGTCACAGGTAAGTTAACTTCTTCTTTTGATCCTAAATCTCCATCTTATACACTCTTATTGCAGCTTTTCACAAGCTCTTTAAGGCGCTGCCTGCCTTTCTGGGTCCCTACTTGGTGGACATTATAGCGGCCTTGGTTCGTCTATCCGTCCAGCTGGACAGCCCCCTGCTGCTACAGGACAAACGCACGCAGGCCCTGAAGCTACTTCTGGTAGACGTCTGGGCGGCTGTTGCACAGGGCGTGCAGGTGCGCATTCTGGTGCCCAGTTTCGCCAAGATCTACAGCTGTTTGATGGAGCAGCAGGCCTACGATGAGCTAGGCCAGTTGATGCAGCAGCTCCTGCTGCAAACCATCCGGCACAATACGGCTGCCCAACTGCAGCCGGTGCAGGATGCGCTCAGCGAACTGTTCTTGCAGGCCCTTGAATTCCGACTCCAGGTTCGTAGCCGCGGTCTGGAAAGGCAGCAGGTTTCCGATGTGGAATCTGCCATCACGGAAACCTTTGTGACGTGGATCCTCAAGCTATCGGAGACTAGCTTCCGACCCATGTACGCCCGGGTGCACAGGTGGGCGATGGAGAGCAGCGCCAAGGAAACGCGCCTCACCTATTTCCTGCTGACCAACCGCATAGCCGAGGCTCTGAAGTCGCTGTTTGTCCTCTTTGCCAGCGAGTTTGTCGAAGACTCCTCGCAGCTGCTGGCCGAGCACAATTCGATAAGTCCCGGTTTCAAAGCTGGACAACCGGAGGACGATGTGGACCTGTTGATGGCCATTTTGGGCACCCTCCATCACGTGTTCCTGCACTGCAGCGAGGACTTTGTAAACGAGCATAGGTTCAATGCGCTGATGACCCCGCTTGTGGATCAGCTTGAGAACGACCTGGTGCTGAGCCATGAGCCTCTCCACCAGGCGCTCAGCAACAGCATTGCCCAGCTGGCGGTGGCCAGCAACGATGTGATGTGGAAGCAGCTCAACAGCCAGGTCCTGCTGAAGACGCGCACTCCCACGCCCGAGGTGCGTATTCTGGCCTTCAATAGTTGCGTGGCCATCGCCCGCAAGTTGGGCGAAAGTTATGCCACTCTACTTCCGGAAACAGTGCCCTTTATCGCTGAACTGCTGGAGGATGAGCACCAGCGCGTTGAAAAGAACACGCGTTCAGCAGTACAGGAGCTGGAAACCATTCTGGGTGAACCTGTGCAAAAATATTTATAATAATAGCAAACTGAGAGGTTCGTTTTTCAAACTGTATAAAGCTAAAGAAATAAATATATTTTTATTTTCGACATCAATGGTACTAAAAAATCAGGTATAGTTTGTAGAAAGTTGGGACCGTTTTTCTATTTTAATTTTCCTGAAGAGTGCTTAAGACTTATTTCTGAAATAATTCTCCTATTAAATCCCTTCTTTTAAAGATTTTCTTTTATAAAAAAACCATCAAAATCAGAATAAGAACTCCCGTTTTAATATTAACTTACTCATTTATTTTGGAATGCAAAGTCCGCTTAAGCTAATGTACATTTTCTTAACAACAATCAACATTATTCTTGGCCCCGCCTGAAGTCGAGCAATGTGCAATTCGCCTATGTATTGTAGGTGTAGGAAATGGTAGGGATGTGGGCGTTGTTGAGCGTATTGTCGTGCGTCTCCTTGTCCTCTGGAATCTCGGGATCCTCGCGCTCCTCCTCCTCGTCAATGATACTGATGTCTCGGATGGACGGGCGATGGCTACGTCGCCAGCCGCTGAGATCCTGCGGCTGCTTCGTCTTGGTCAGCAACTTCGTGCCCGTCACGGAGATCAGGATAGCACCCAAAGGAGCGGTCAGCACAATGCTGAAGACGCAAATTGTCTGCACAATATTTGCCCAGTTGCGCTCATCATCCGTAGAGTTCTCGTCCAGATGCTTGAGAGCCACCGGACCAAGTGCCGCCTGCACGGTGGCCTTCGCCATCCACGAAAGTCCGACAAAGAACTTCTCCTTGGTGTTTAGGCGATCGCCGAACGCAATGCCCGCCGTGGTTAAGATGCGCAGGATGGAGCCCGTGAAGATACAGGCCGCTCCGATCGACACTGTGTGCGAGTCCAGCTCGCGGATCTTGATGGTGGCTCCGGTGAGGCCGAACAGGATCGGCTCGAAGATCATCCAGAAAACCTCGAAAGCGGTGGACACCGGATTATCCTCCACGTTCCAGCCGTCTTTGCACCAAAACAGGTTCGAAACAAAGGCCGAGAAGACGACAGCCAGAGGTCCGGCGCCTTCGAAGCCCAACTCCTCGCTGCCATAGATGGCCATCAGGCCGCCGGTAAAGAGCAGCAGCGTTCGCAGAGGGACCACAAAGGCGTCGCCCTTCTCCGGGAAAATGCGAGCCAGCGATCCCCAGATGACGCCAAAGCCCAGTCCGCCGATAATACACACCGGAGCCTGGGCGATTTGGTAGGCCAGACCCTTGTCGGAGAACATCACCGTGCTGATTATACCGAAAATGGCCACTGACAGGGCGTCATCGACTCCGGCCACGGCCACCACAAGTGTGGGAATACCCTTGGCCACGCCATAGCCCTTGGTCCGCAGACGGAACAGGCAGGGCACCACAACTGCTGGTGACACCGCTGCAATGATGGAGCCCAGCAGAAAGGCCCAGATCCAGGGAAGATCGAGTAGGAAATGCGACATCACGGCCATCACAGCCGCCTCCACGCACCAGGGAATGATGCCCAACTTCAGGATCGTCTTGTACACCTTCTTGAAGGCCTCCGGCTCCATCTCGAGGCCAGCTCGAGTCAGGATTATGGTAAGCGCAAACTTACGCAAGTGGGCCGTAACCTTGGAGAAGTCGCCATCGAGATTCGCCCAGCCCACGTTCTGTGAAAAGGCAAATAAACATGTAATTAAATGTGTTTACCTCAGGAAAGTGTAAGACGTTTACCTGGAAGAGTATGCCCACCATGAGCATGCCGATCAGTCGCGGCAATGTAGTCAGTGATATCAGGTACCCGCCAAAGTTGGCGGCCACAGTAAGTACGACCAGGCCAAACAGCTGCCCTCCAGGGGCTGCCGAGTCACCAATGATCACGAAGGCCGTAACCCAAATGAGGACACCTAAGGAATGGTAACAGTTTCATTAATATTCTTAAGTTTAATTAAAGAATATGTATTCAGATTAAATATTTACCGATCAAAATTATGGAAATCAGCCGAGAGACGGTCCTGAAAGTGGGGCACAGCGGGTAGGGGAAGATCTTCTGCCAGAATGGCGGCTCCCAAGATGACGAAGGCTCCTCGCCGCGGCACTTAAGGCAGAATGTATACATCCATGACTCCTCGACATAGTTGGCCCCGCCATTACTGTCCCCCAGCGAAGTGTGCCCCATCTGGTGGCCATTGTACTTGGCATTGAGCACGTCCAGAGCATTCTGTCGATAGTTTTCTGAAATTTCAATAAAAAGATATTGCCAGTCAATAAATGAATGAATGAACACAGAAAACCCAGTTCTCCGAGGGTTGTTTATCGCCAAGGAAATTATCTCGTCAGTCATCATGGACCTCTAATTAGGTGATAAATACAGTCCTAATATCGCCGGGGAGAACAAGCTGGAATGCATACATACGTCAAAGGCCAGACCTACGCAATAATATTGGAAATTATTAGACCCAACTTCCCCCGGCCCGCTAATTGGTAATGTCAATCGGAATATGAAGTGGACGCAGAAATAGACGGAACGAACGGCCACTGATCAAACAGGCGTTGATTTTGCATTACTCAAGCCACATCAAGTCTGCGATGAAATGGGAGACTAGTTTCTAAGGTCGCAGAGAGGAAACGTAAGAACTTTCAAGGATTTCAGTTTCTTGGATCTTTAATTAAATTAAAAAAATAAACTTTAAAACGTTAAAGAAATTGTAACGATCTCAGCGATCTCACCTTTTAAGTTGGTTTATAATAATTTTTTCCCTTGAAAAACAGGCTTGAATGTCCAATATTGAAATATGTATTACTTATTTTATGTGTACTTAATAACTGATACTCTTTTGAACTTTTCACTTTCCTTACTTTAATAAATCCCAGACTGTTACTAAAAGTACTCACATACTGTTCTTAAACGTCATTTTTGCACGTAATGTTTGTGAAAGAATTCAATGCACGTGCAAATTATCTAGACTTAGTAGAGAGTTTACAAAGTGCGCCACGAACGGGTTAAGAACTATTTTATTTAGATGATAAACTATATTTGGTAGTAAAACTCATAAGAACGGTCAAAATATTTTCTAAGTTATAATATTCTACAGACCAAACTGACCCTGAAATATTGCATTTCCTAGATCAAACTTTTTTGATAATATAAGTTTTTCTAAAGATATTTTGGCATACCGTATTTCTATATATATATTTTCTTAAGAACTCACCGTAACTATGCGTGGAGGCCCGGTCACTATCGTAGTCATGTGGGGGCGCAGAGTCCTTCAGAATGCTCTTCCTTCGCGCCGGTCCAATATCGCTGTGCGAGTGTGTGGAGGTCTGCGGCAAGAATAGGATTTGAAGTTATTTTAGCCTGGTATACTCTTATCTTCACGCGTAACTCAGCCAATAATCAAAGCTCGTTCCATATACATATACGTATATATATTTTCATTAGGAGATTGCATGTCCCGCACGCGAAAATCCTATTTTACGATGCCCCATCAAGCGAAATGATCGCAATCGCAATCGCTCTACCGATTCGCTACGCCGCCACTCACCTGTGAAATTTTACGTCTCGGGTTTTGCTCATAAGCGGGATTATCGTATCCAGAACCGGGGCCACTGCCGCCGATAGCTGGCGGATCCGAAATAATGCTGACCCGCCGCTTGGGCTGGCTCTCGATGACGATAGTGCTCTTGTGGTTGCCACTGCCATTGGAGTTGGGCATGGGTAGATCGCTGGGCACAGGATTCGGGGACGGAGGCGTAACGATGGTCGTCGGCGTATTTGTATTGGTAGCCGGAGCACCGGTGGAAGAATCCTCCCGATTGCCAGGCTCTCCCGTGGCCGTCATCGTCTTGTGGCTCTGTCGAAACGTACGAGATTTATGATCAGTGATCTGGGCGCCATGTACGGTGGCTTAATGGTCGGATTTAGGAGGGGAGGCTTACACTAAACATCAGAGACAGCGTTCCGAATCGAAGGTATAAAAATATTACGGCCCGATACGCGACTTTTTACAACTATCTCGTTCGACGTTTAGCAATGAAATAAATTCATTACCACGCTGTGGGAATCCAACAGCTGCAGGGGCACACGCACACCTGTGTAGGACCGTACAGACACTAACAGACACCTGCTATATGAATACACTGAGCGAAAAGGTAGGGTGCTAATTGAAAAGGCCAACTGTTGGGTATTGGAGCAAGGAATTTAGATAGTTTGATGATCAAAAGCTCACAGTGATAATTGCACATCTTGTTTTCGGAACAATTACTTTACAAGGCAATTCAGAAATATTAAAAGATATTTATAAACTAATTCTATAAGCGTTAAGATATGCAGAAAATGAACGGGTTAATAGCCTTAACTTTAAAATTTGTATTAATTTTTGAAAGAAACTAGAACACTAATCAGGACATGAAAACTGGGTAAAAGAATTAAGGAAAAAGGACTTACAAATTTGTGTTTGTAAATTTAAATCCTAAAATATCAATTCAATACCAACATGTTTATTTCAAAATTCCCAATTCCTGGAATTCTTCTACAGCCATAAATTATTTTAATTGATTTACTTCACACAATAAATTTGCTACGGGTATTTTCTCGCACTGCACATTTGTGAAGTTGTGAAAACGTTAAAGAGTAACGTAAATATTAAATAAATATTGTAAAAAAAAAAATACTAAAAACCTCAATAAAAATTAACGGCAATTAGCTTTAATTATATCACCCAGCGTGAAAGAGCTACGCGACATAGATATAAACGAGTAAGTATATCCTATGAATATGTAAAAACCTGGCGGTTCTCGCTTTGATGACCAAGAAGTTTTTTACCCATTTGTTTGGCGTTCAATTATGACGCGTTTTATCTAAACAAATTCACGTGAGCTTGGTTTAATTTTACGCCTTTTTTCTCCCCTTTAATTATCCACCGGCGCGTCGAGACGTCTCGAAATAATGAGGCTGAATTGATTATTTCATACATTTGGCGATTATTTGTTTTTCGGGTCTTTCCGTTGTTTTCGTGTGGTGTTTTTTTTTTTTTTTTTTTGATTCGATTCTGCGGCGGGGAGAACAAAATGTGACATCAAGTCATGCGGT